GAGAAAAGGAGGAGGAAGTGCAAAAGAGAGCAGAGAACCCAGACAGTAGCTAGCATGTGATTAAGAGAAAAGCTTTGTTTTATTTTGTTTTGCTTGAAGATAAAAGAAATGATAGCAAGCTTATGTGGTGATATTAATAAACTACTAGAGAGACAATTGTCAGTAGAGGGGACTTCAGTTCCTTGACTCTTCTTTTTTCTCCTAGGCTGGTTCCGTTTCCCTCCTTGCTTCATTTCCTTCTTTAGCCAGGCTGGGCCTATGACTACCTCAATTATGCTTTAACTAACCCCCAGAACGCCTCCCTTTTTTTTCTTTCCTCCTTTCCCAAGTCCACCATTTTCTTTCTTCTCTAGAATTTGTGGGTTGCCAATTGGCTTTACTACAATAGATTCATGCTGCCTAACCTCAGTTGAACTCACAAAGCCATCCAAGTATTCTTTTATTCTGATATTCTTTCATAGTTTACTTCCTAGCAAATGACCTACAGTGTTTATTCCAATTTTTTCCCTCACTCAGCATTCATTCAACACAAGTTTATTGAGCAACAATCATGTTCCAGACACTGGAGCTACACATAGCCCTCACTGTTTTCCTAGACTCTTAGCAGATGACCTTTATTCTACTTTACTGAAACGATTGATGTGAATTCTTGTATTTTCTCCTTATATTCACGATCTTTAAATACACCCTTTTATCACTGTTTCTAAAAGATAAAGTCTCTCTGGTAATCTCAAAGATTAAGTCTTCCCCTTGGGCCTTGATTCTATTATGTATTATATTTAAAACTTTTTTTTTATCCATTAATCTCACCTAAACCCACAGCATCTACAGCATTGCTCCTCCCTATTGCAGACCCTTCTCTCTTCCCAGAGGTGACAACTGAACTACCTTTTGAACTAATCATTTTTTTGCATTGCTTTATGATACCCACACRTATAAATGTGTGTGTATATATAACACACACATACATATCTCTTAAACAATGAAGTGTCAACTTTTGATAAAACTGCAGTTCTGCTGTGGACTTTTTTAAAAATAGATTTTTAAATTGTAGATGGACACAATACCTTTTTAAATTTATTTATCTTCTTATATGGTGCTGAGGATCAAACCCAGGGCCTTACATGAGCTAGGCAAGCACTCCACGACTGAGCCACAACCCCAACCCTGCTGTGGACTTTAAGTCAAACACAAACCTAGCTAAGGATAGAGAAAATTATTTTGCCACTATTCATAGAAAATAACCTCAATATATTCTTTGGATTATAGTCTGGCTACATTAGTACAGAGGTTATAAGTGTGTCCTGGAAACTTGGAAGTTGGGGCATCTGGCAGGAAAATATACCGGTGGTAGGGGCTGCTGTACATTTTCTCTTCTATGCTCCCTGTAGCTTATCTCCACATTATCCCAAAACTCTTGAACTTTACTGTCTTTGCCCCATCTTTAATGCTTCCTGTGGCTTCCAGAATAATGTATATAGCATTACTACCTTTAAGGCAGTATTTTCCATGGTTTCTGTTTTTGCTGTCTGTGTCAAACTAAACTACTGCAACCATTTCACTGAATGAGCAGGATTCTGGACACAATCAGAAAACACCTAATTCTTCCTAGTCGCAGCCTCTTCAACCTGCTGAGCCCTTCTCCTTCTCCTTGAGAAACTGATGTAACTCCATTTTTGAAAACCCAGCTTCAACCTCAAGGCCTGTCCAAAGGGAGCAGGCGTGACCCTTGTCCTTGGAAAAACCCACAGAGCACTCCTAGGCACCTAGCCACCCTGCTGAGATGATCTACTGCACCAGATGTCCCTGACTCGCTAGGACCCATAGCAACTCCCTAGCAACCACCAATCAGTGTGAGACAGGGATAATACTTGGGATGCCAGATGACCTCTCCCAGTAGTCTCAGTGATTGGGTGATTGATAACATGATAGGAAACCACGTAGTTTAGCGTGTATACCCCTCACGGATTAAACCAATCAGTTCAAATGAATCCCCCTCTTGTACTAACCAATCACCCCTACCCAACTTGTTCCTGCCAGTGAATGTGCTAATCAATGTTAAGAGTTGTTGTTTGATTTTTCCCGTGGTATGAAATGATTTGCTGTGTAATGTTATGACACATAGAGTATCCCCAAAAACCTATAAAATCTCACTGAACAAAGGACCAGGGCTCACTCCCTGGGACCACTGCATTGGAACGATGTGAGTCCAGGTTCCAGCTTGCAATAAAGCATCTTGTGCGATTGCATCAGATTCAGCTCCTGGTGGTCTTTCCAAATCAGGCATTACATCCTCAGTAAAGTTTTAGTCAGGTCACATAGTTTAGCTGCTCACTCATGGAAGATAAAAGTCCTCTGGTCACTATAGTCTTAAGAATAGCTTCATTTATATAAATAAACAATGTAGTCCTATATAATAGAACTTAAACTTCATCAGAGCCTCTCTTCCCCAGATCAGGCTACCATAGGAGGACACAGTGGGAACAGAGAGCATGGCTGGCTTCTGAATATGTTTCTGTTACAGCCTTTGCTCATGAATCTCTCCTGGATCCTCGCAAAGGAACCAGGGGGAGGTAAGGGTAAGACAAGGAAAAGTTCTCCCTGTTCGGCAGCAGTGTGACCTGGCACTGGTTCCTCCAAGTGGAAGAAGTTTAAAACTGRTATTTCTCTTGGAGTATCTTTGTGGGTCTATTGAGGTCCCATATTTCCCCTAATTCAGGGGATGCATTCCACTCTGCTCAGTGTTCTTTCTCAACCCTGGGACTCTAGTGGCCTAATCCTGTTAGGATCACAGCCCGCTCCAGGTAAGGTTGTCTCTCCTTGTGGTTACCTCTGGCCCTCAGAAAAGCAACACAAGTGTCTTTTCCCCAACAAACTCCATTCCCACTGTAACAATCTAGTCACAGTGAACACTAAATATTTAGTATTTTCCAGTGATGCTTCTGAAATTAGTCTCTTGTCTCCACAAAATCCAGATCTCTGAGTGGTTTTAAATCCTTTTCATTTGGCTTGAGGTGAAAGGAAAATACTTCCAAGTGTAAGGAAGAAATTATCTGTCAAGTTTCTAATCTCTTATATACAATATATTTTTTTTGTATATTGTGAAAATAATGCATGTCTACCTGGGATCATGGCTCAGTAGTAACGTGTTTTCCTAGAATGTCTAAGACCCTGGGTTTGAGTCCCAGCATCATTAAATTAAAAAAAAAATTTAATTAAACAAAAAAAAAATTAATGTCCAGAAAAAGAAAATACACATATGAAAAACAGAAATACATACGTTGGAAAGCAAAAGTATTTCCCTTAGGAAATTTACAGCTTGAAATACCTATTTTAGAAGAAAAGGAAAGAGAGGTAAAAATGAACCCAGATTCACCAAAACCCTGTGCTGTTGCATCCCTGTGTCCAGAACCTATGTCTTGCCACCACTGTCACCATGTCCAAGAGAAAGATTGAAAGGCGATGTTAGAGGAGATAAAACAAAGGTGAGGGAAAAAACCACAGAGGAGATCCAACAGACCCCAATACTCTTAAAGGCATATTCTATTCAAATCTTCAAGGAAGAGGTGATTCCAATTTTAAAAAAAGCATATTCAGACAATGAAAACAGAGAGAACTGCTCCCAATTCAATGCACTAGGCCAGAATAACCCAGCTAACAATGTAAGAATGAAAGAAAGCTAGTATAGGCCAGTCTCACTTAACAGCATAGATGTAAATATCTAAATAAAATATTGGCCAACTACTCCCATATGATTGGCTTTATTTTAGGAAAGCTGTGATGTGATCAGTCACATTAAAAATCTAAAGGGGAAAAATACAAGATTATCTGAAGAGATGGAGAAAGATTGTTTAATAAATTTTTTAATTTAAAATTGTTTAATAAAACTAAACATAAAAGAGTTTACTTAAAATGTTTAGCATTGGAAGAGAATTTTCTCATCCAGGTTGAAATATAGAAACTTCAGAAAAATCCTCTAAACTAAATAAGGCCAGGATGCCAAAAATCTCCACTTCTGGAGTGCTAGATGGCGAAATAGGAGAAGAAAAATTAACAACATTTTCATAGTTAATTTTTTCACATTTAAACATTTCTAAAATTAAAATATCTTAAACTTGATGAAACACAGTTTAAGGATTGGGAAGGGAAGCGTGTATTATTTGCAGAAAGTAGAATCTACAAATTGATACATAAATTAAAGAGTCTGAAGAGGATGATGGATATAAGACAAGTATAGGTTTCAGAGGTTTCAGTCCATGGTTTCTTGCCCTTGTGACAACACAGTACATCATGGCAAAAAATGTGTGGCAGAGAACGTCTGTTCACTTCATGGCAAAGAAGAAGGAGAGAGAGAGACAGAGAGACAGACAGAAAGACAGAGACGCAGACATGGGGGAAGGGGTAGGGTTCTAATATTCCCTTCAAGGACAATACTGCCCTTCCACTAGACCCCACTTCCTAAAGGTTCCAAAACTTACCAATAGTGCCATGGGCCAATCGTTTAACACTCTTTCAACACATGGGCCTTTGGGTGATACTTTAATATCTAAACTATAGCAGAGATATTAAATATCAAATTCATGATAGTATGTGTTTCTGGGGAGGGAGGAAAGGAAATAATATACAAGTCCTTAATCCCACCTATAATGCAAAATGTAAAGACCAGGTATTAGAGATAATAACAAGAATATTCTGAGGCTTTTTTAAAGGCACAAATGTTGTAGCATTTCATTACTTTATAAGAAGTGTCAAGTCCTTGGCTTATATCAATAATCATACATCAAAGCTTACAGCATTTGAATTGCAAACCTTTGAAGCCTGTAATTAGAAATAGCAGACAGAATAATCTAAATGTATTAAAGACTTTCAAAGTAATTTCTATTGGTATAAAAATAATTCAGTAAGCCATAAATTTCTTTCTAATGTTGACTTCCATCTTTTGCAAAGTCACCAATCTATACAATTCAGGATACAATATTCACATAAACATTTCTGCTAACCTGTCTCTTATTCTTGTAATCTTTTATTTCCAAGGACAGTTTGTAGAACTGCAATACCTTCATCCTCTTCTCAGAAAGGTCCTGATATCAAATTCACAAACCTTTCTCAGTTTGGATATCACATTCCGTCCTTCCAAAGACATGGGTCAACTCAGTTCACTGCACCCAGAGCCCACTGTTAGTCATTTAGTTGGTTATCAGATCCACTGCTGTGGTACTTGCATTAAATAACCTTTATTTCACTTCATAAGGGTCCCGAATTGCAAGAATAGTAATGGTAGCAATTCAGATATGCCAAAGAAAAGTTGTGAAGTGCTTTCTTTGAAAAAGGGAAAGTACAAGATACTTTGAGAGAGGAAGAAAGTCTACAATCACATATATTACATTATATTTTTGTAATTCTAATAATTTTATAATTCTATAATTTTATTAATATCTATTGTTGTTAACCTCTTACTGCTTCTAATTTATACATTAGACTTTATTATAGATATTATATGTACAGTAAAAACTATATATATAGGATTTGGTACTAATTGCAATTTCCAGCATCCACTGGGGGTCTTTGAACACATCTCCTGTGCCCTTTTAAGAACTACAAAGTTCTGTGGTATAGTGTTGTAGTAGATGTATAGTATATTGCATAGTAGTAATAAGCAGGCAAGCATTAGTTTAAGTATAATATGCTCTGAGTGAAGCATGGGTTTCTAATCATTGATTGAGGATCTTTGTGTCTGGATAGCCAAAATTAAACTTGTTCTATTATGTTTTTAAATGATTTTTGCATTTTCTCAAAGGTGCTCTCATTATTTTAGGGTCTCTCATCTAAAACAGACCTTCTTTCTATTGTAGCTTGCTCAAGTAGATACTCTTATCTCAAGAATTTAAAAAACTGTAATCTGGAAATAATTGTGGTAGCTCTTTTAAAATGAATTTTAGCTTGAAATAAATCATCACTCTATAGAAAGAGAAAGCATGATCATCATGAATTTATTTTGAGTACTAGACATGTCCAACTATTGTGAAAAAAACATTGTTTTGTAGAAATGGGGTCCTGTGCATGGAGAATCCCTGCTTCTGGCCTGCGCAGAGGGATCAGTGATGCTATCATCAGCTGAGGGGACACTAAAGGGAAGAACAGATTTAGGAATAAAAATCCCAGGCATTGAACATATTGAGGCTGAAGGAGCTTTGTGGTACTCTTGTAGAGATTCCAGGAGGCTGGTGAATAACTGGGTTGGAATATAAAGAGAAATCTGTGAAAGCTACTCATACCTGAAAGTTTCCTATAACACCGGCAGATGGATCGCACCCTTTCTGTACTCCCATATCCTTTTTAAAAACACAAATTGTATTGGTTGTCCTCTGTTGTAGCAAATGTTCTGTTATGTGTTATTCTATGTATTAGTTTCCTAGTGCTGATGTTACAAATTCAGTGATTTAAAACAACATAAATACGTCATCTTAAAGTCCTGGAGGTCAAAAGTTCAAATAGGATCAACAAGATGGCCCCTTATAAAGGCTTTGGGGAAGAACTGGTTTCCCTGTCTTTTCCACCTTCTAGAGTTGGTCTGCATTCTTTGGTTTGTTTCCTCTTATCAGTTTGACTTCTGTTTCTGTTATCACATCTCCTTCTCTGACTCAGATCCTTCAGCCTCCCTTTTATAAGGCTCCTGTGATTATATTGGGTCCACTCAGAATATTCCAGATAATTTCACCATCTCAAGTTCTCTAATGTAATTACATCTGCAAAGTCTCTTTTGCTCAGTAAAGTAACAGTCGTTCTGGGGATGAGGATGTAGATATCTTTCAGGAACCATTGTTCTGCTCACCACACCTTATGTACTTGGTTGTTTGTAAGTCTCCATAAGCATCTCTGATCTGGGGTTCTATTTGGGTCTTTTCCGTATTCCCTCAACATTTAGCCTAATACATGTCATGCACTAAATAAATATTATTGGAACTGACTAAAGAGTCTTGCTGTGAGGTAAGATGCTAGCCAAAGATGGTCATGCTAGTGGGACTGGAGGGGAGATTTGTGGCATCTGAAGGAATAGACCTGCTTGCTAGGACTCGGTGCTATGACGTAATTGAGGGAAGGACTGTGCCCTGCCGGAATGGCTGAGAGATGTCGTGAAGCAGGAATGTATGGTGGTAACTTGATAGAATATGCCAGAAAGCATCGACTCTCCTGATGCGCCTCACCTGTGTACCACGCTGGGTTTTGCTACAAAAATGTGTTGAAACATGTTTTAAAACAGAGAATTGGTAAAATATTATGCAACCATGGTATGATTCTACTTTGGTTTATCCAGTCCTAGATTAATATGTCAAAGTCCTATGTTAGACAAAAAAAAAAAAAAAAAAAACTGGCTTGGGGATTTTCATATAAATGAAATCTGGTATATCTTAGAATGCCCCAAATGAGTTAGTTCAAGAAACAGAGGCCAAAGACATAAAGTGCTCCTACTGAGTCAGTGAGTTGGCATTGCTGGGTAGATGTCCTTGACCATGCCCATAGCGCTCAGACTCATGGCCCTGCTCTTCCTCCTCCAGGTTAAGTGATTCCCAGTGTCCAATAGTTCCCTGGCAGTTAGAATCCCTTAAGTGCTGATTCTACTCTAATGATTGTATTGTGAGAAATATAGCCCTTTGAAGGACCACAAGGCCCCAGAGTTTGGACTAGAAAAACCACATCCCCTGAATTAAGGGAATGGGAAAATGGAGGGGGTTCCATATATCAGTTTGATGGTGGCACCCTTGCTATAAACCTGTGTTGTGTGAGTGACTGTCCTTGGTGAGCCTGATAAAGTTTTTGCTGAAAGCTTGGTCCTTGCTCCTAGTAAGGTCAGTGGTGGACTTAGTGGCGACTTAGAACAAAGCAGCCCGATTGGGAAAGGAACATCAATCAGATGCCATCGGAAACGCCTTCAATCAGCYAGATCTCCTGACTAACGCCGGTCAATCAGCAGGACCCCCTGGCCAATCCTGGAGTTCAGCCAACTCCCCTGACAAACTCCAAAGGGGCAAGGGACCCTAGAAACACCTTTTCCTGTCTCAAGCCCTTCCCTTCCTGCTGTAAGCCCCATAAAAGGCCAGTGCAGTCGAGCTTCCACGCGGTTTCTCCTCAGACCCTTCTCCTGTTCACTCTGTGGGTCTGATGAGTTCCGCCTGGGAGTGATATCTCAATAAAGCCTGTTCAGCAGCCCTTTTAAATCTGCCTTCTTTCGATGCTGCCTGATCTGACATTCTTGATGCAAATCTAAAAACAAGGACATGGTTTTGAGAAAAAGGAAAAAGAAGGTTCATTGCTTTGTTGGCAAAGGAGAAACACAGGGAACTCCTGTCCCAAAGACTGTGATTCTGCCCATCAGTAGGAACAGGGGGCTTTTAAAGAGGTGATTMAAAAGCTACATTCCACATGCTCTCTACTGGAGTTGTAATTCACTTGTGATTTGGAAGATAGTAATTTCTGAGATCTTCTGGTATCATCCCCAAAGTCTGGATTACTTCCTTCCTGTGGTGGATGTGTACTTAGGGACAGATAAATCTGCTAAAATGGGAAAGAAAGGTAATCCTGTTTCCCCTGAGGGAGGGGGAGAGATTAGGGAGGAGCCAGGAGAGAGGAAGACAAAGAAACATGTCTATTTTGAAAATAAGTTAGTGGCAGAGCAGCAAGGGCTGTATTCAAAGTATAAAGTGCACCACTGTTCCAAGGTTAACAATGGAATGCTTGGTAAGAAGAGTCCAGGAGACTGTTCAAGCCAGAGAATGAGAATGTAGGTGCATAACAGGGTTAGAGGTGATGTTTTCAGGGGCATCAAAACAGTGAGTCAAGAAGGTAGAGATTCCCTAAGGAGGAGAATCCCCAGAGAAAAACAGAAGTGAGGATAAAGAGAGATAATCAAGGAAGATAAAGAAGGGCAAAACCGTGGTCAAAGGTGAGATGATAAGTCACATAYGCTGTAACACACAGAAAAAGGGCAAGTATCCGCAGGAAGGCTCAGAATTGACAGCCCCTTCTATCCCAGCAGGGCACCAATCACTCTGAGAATCAGTGGTAGATCCAGAGTTTTGGCATCTAGCCCCAAARCCCTTCTGGCCCAACCAGCTGGAGTTCCGGATTTCTCTGCAGCTCCATATAACTGCTAGCACAAGCCTCCCTCTTGTTTGTAGCTACATAGTTTGGAGCACTAATTTATCCTGGCACCTGTGTGGACTCCAGTGAGTTTGAACTTCCCTGTTATTTCCAACTTTGCACTTGGTGTTCCCACCTTCTCTGTTCCAGCAATCTGACTTCCTGACCCTGAATCCAATCACTGACCATTCTCACTGAGGGTTGGGCTTTAGCCCTCTCCCCATGTGGGAAAGAGCTTCTGGGAAGACACTTCAAGGTCCCATCTGCACTGTAGAAAAAAAAAAAACAAAAAACAAAAAACAAAAAACAGTGATTGGCAGAATCAGGGAAGAAAGCCAAGGAGAAAAAAAGAGGCTGAAGAAAGCATCAAGTGTGTTTCTGCAGTTTTAAGAGCAGGAATTGAAGATCTAAAAAAAAATGAGAAGGGGACAGTAAACAAAAAAGTCAGTAAAAAACCAAAGTGTTGCTACAAGAAGAACCATCTTGAATGATTAAAAGCACCTTTCTGACCCACAATGCCTAAAATGGGAAAGAAAAGTGTTCCTGTTTCCCCTGAGATTAGGGAGGAGCCAGGAGAGAGAAAAAGACAAAGAAACATGTGCATTTTAAAACTAAGTTGCAGTGGCAGAGCAGCAAGGGCTGTATTCAAAGTATAAAGTGCATCACTGTTACCAGGTGACAGTGGAATGCTAGTAAAAAGTGGTCTTTGGCTGGGGGCTGGGGCTGTAGCTCAGTGGTAGAGCATTTGCCTAGCATATGCAAGGCCCTGGATTCAATCCTCAGCACCACATATAAAATAAATAAATAGAATAAAGATATCGTGTTCAACTACAACTAATATATATATATATATATATATATATATATATATATATATATATATATATATATATATATATATTTTTTTTTTTTTAGAAAAGGA